ATCTTTTTTTTTTTTTTTTTTTTTTTTTTTTGAGACAGAGTCTCGCTTTGTTGCACAGGCTAGCTAGAGTGAGTGCCGTGGCGTCAGCCTAGCTCACAGCAACCTCAAACTCCTGGGCTCAAGCAATCTTTCTGCCTCAGCTCCCGAGTAGCTGGGACTACAGCATGCGCCACCACGCCTGCTAAGTTTTTATATATATATTAGTTGGCCAATTAATTTCTTTCTATTTATAGTAGAGATGGGTCTTGCTCTTGCTCAGGCTGGTTTCGAACTCCTGACCTCGAGCAATCCGCCGCCTCGCCTCCCCAGAATGCTAGGATTACAGGCTTGAGCCACCGCGCCGGCCTGAGCCTCCACTCTTAAGACCTGTTGCTTCAGGCAAACATGTAGAGAGCATTATATATAAAGGCATCAGAATAAAATGATTCAATAAAGGTGAGCAAGCCTCTTACATCCTGTGAAGCTTAGCAGTGAGACAGCCGCCACTAGAGGAGCATGGAGTAGAAGGTGGGATAAATGAAAACACGAGAAACGCAAGAGTGAGAGGAGAGAAGTCATGTCAGTCCTGACCAGACTGTTTAGCAGGACACATATTTTTTCCTTTGCGTGTAGAATATGCTGTCCTCTGTACTTTACTGTTCCATTCGCAGGCATACCCTTTTGGGCCCTTTCCTGGCCCTTCCCAGCCCTCATCTTCCTGCCGAGTTCTGAGCTACAAGGTTTTCAGCCTAGTCCTGGGCAGTCACACCTGCACCTCAGCTACTGCCAAAGGGATGTTTGATTCATTCATTCATTCACTTAACAGTTATGGAGGCTCAGAAGTCTTTCTTTGTGTAGTTTTCTCTACAGAAAACAATTCTGGACTTCACAAATTTAGTTACTGTGGGAGGAATTCAATTTTCCATTTTTGGTTATCCTATATTGAGCACGACTTTGCATGTCCTGGACATAGTGGTAGGCACGGGGATATACACACACATGTGGGCACGCACATGCACACTTGCCTTTGTGTTCACCAGCTAATGGAATACTATTTAAAAGTTCTGAATTCTGGTTATTTGTGTTTCTGTTTCTTTCCTCACTAGATGGTGGGCTCCTGAGCAGAGTCCCAATAGCTAGTGCCCAGCCCTTCCTGCTTGATGAATCAGTAGGAATGAAACTGACAATCCTAATGTAATTTTGGTCATCCTGGGAGTAGCAGGGAAGCAGGAGTCCTCCTTAGAAAAGCATCTGCTCCTGAGCAATCCCAAATGTTCACTCTGGACCAATGCCCAGATCCAGGCCATGATTTCAAAGAGGACACGTCTAGGGAGCAAGAGGTCTGATGTACTTTACTCTTCTGTATCTCGTCCATACCCTAGTTTTCTTACAGCCCACCCAGAAAATAATTGGCAGGGTGTCAGGAAGAATAAGCATCTGTTATTTAAAATATGTTTGAGGTTTCTTGCCTTTCACTTTGGAAATTTTTGGGAAAAATTTTTTTTTTCTGGAAAATTGAACCCAGAAGACATTCTTGAATTTGATCCTTAAAGAGAATTGAGAAAAAAATAAAAATGAGTTGAAGCAATGGATCTGGATCCAGGCTGTCTCTCATACTTGTCACCAAATAAAACTTGTCCATGAAAGA